ATATATTATAAATGAAAACCTAAAGGATACTCCACTAAAAATTACAAGTCACTCGAAGAAAAGCTCCAAAACACATGAGAAGAAGTTGTGAAGCAAGGGATGCGTAGCTTATCATGAATTACTAGTCTCTTCAACTCATTACCAAAATGCAAACTCACACAAACATTACTTCTTGAAGAACCAATTTTAGCAAAGAAAATCAGCAGGCTTATTGGCCTTTTTGTAATTAAACGACCATTTAATAGTAAAACCTGACATTAAGTTGATAATCTTCCTCCACAGAATACCCAAAAAATGATATAACCTGCTAGCAATGCTTTTAGTAATAGAATTATTACCAACAAATTTGCCTTCTAAAACATCCTTCTTAGATCTATCGAAAGGAATACCCAAAACATAGTCCACCATCTCCTAAGCCAACACTCGGTTCAATTTATCAATATTTCAACTATCTTGATTCCAGAAATCAGAGACAGAATGAGTTCCATCCACCATATTCTAATTAAAACCATACAAAGGGCCCTTAAGAGTCCTATCATAACTCCAAAATTTGAATTTCCTGTCACCTAACTCCCACACAATCATGTCCTCAGCTTTCTCCCTAACATTAAGTAATTCTTTCCACAGAAGAGAGTCACCAATCTTTGGACTACAATCCAAAGGTTGTAATAATTTACAATATCTTCTATGCATAAACTTAGCCCAAAGGCCAATATTCTCTCTAAACTTAATCCAAAGTTTACAAAAGTTAATCTCCATAGAGTACTTAAAGGATCCGAAACCCAACCCAAACTGTTTTTTAGGTCTTCACAACTTAATCCCAATTAGTCCAATGAACACATTGACCATGTCCAGACCAAAGAAATTTATTAAAAATTCTGCCCAACTTAGTTTGCATGCTTCTTGTCATCTTTGTGACTTGAAGTACATATAGAGGAGGAGAAGTAAAAACACTTTGCAGAAGAGTGTTCCTTCCACTAAATGAAAGGAATGAGTTCTCCCAACTTTGAATATGAGTATTAACTTTATGAATAACATCAACAAAAAGAAGATTTTTCTTTCTAGTTGTATTAAGTTGAATGCCCAAATATTTGATAGGAAATGTAGCCTCTTTAAAACCAGTAAACTTGCTAATCCATTGTCTCCTGTCAGCAGGCACCCATTTACTAGCATAGAATTGACATTTGAGTTTATTAAAATGCATACTCGACATGGTTTCAAAATGAATGAGAATCTTATTAATATGTTTAATGTTGTTTTTACCCATATTGCGGAAGATAATATAATCATCTACATATGTCAAATGAGAAATTAATTCACCACCTTTAGCTTTATATCTCCAATTATGATGATTCTCCAAATGAATATTCAACCTCCTTGAAAGATAATCCATAGCAATTATAAATAAAGTTGGTGAAAGTGGGTCACCTTACTTAAGCCCCCTATCAGATCTAGAATGGCCATGACTCCTTCAATTAATAAGAATAGAATAATAATTATTTTGTGAAAGTATCATAATAATGTTACAAAAGTCTTCATTGAATCCCCTCTCTTGAAGCACCTTAATAATAAAAGCCCAACTTAAAAACCCAACATAAGCCTTTCTCAAATCCAAACCCCCTCTGCACTGACTGCTAATATTCATAACAAGTTCCCGTGCAATCAATACATTGTCAATTGTACTTCTCCCAACAACAAAAGTTGTTTGTTGAGGACAAATCAATTTATCCAGAATAGAGTTAAGCCTCTTAAAATTAATTTTGCTTATAATTTTAGATACCACAATAGTAAGGCTAATGAGCCAAAAATCATCCCATTTATGAT